GTGCGCTGTGTGCAGCTTCTGAGAAGATACGCTATTAGCGTAGCGGGAGCGATGCAAAATGTGCAGCCACCTTCCCCGCTATGCTTATAGCGTATCTTCTCAGAAGCTGCACACAGCGCGCCGGTTTAAATAGTTGCCGATACGCTCTGTATGCATATTCTGGCAGCGTGAGAGACGGGAGTCTGCGTTGTTGGTCGTTCCAGGGATCAGGTCAGTATTAAAAGGTTATTAAACCCTCCGGCCTTTTTGCATATATATATAAGGCTAGCGAGCAGTAGATATATGCAAAAAGTTTTTTGGTTTTTTTTAAACAAAACTGGGGGGGCGGGGCAAAAAAAAAACTTGCACCAGGGACCTTTGTTCCTTAGGTCCGCCACTGCTGTGCATGTTGCAAAGTAGCCTCTGCTCCAAGCTCACTCCCGTGATAGACTACAATCTCATGTTTAGTTTACTAATTTGTATTGCAATTGTAGTCCATCATGAGAGTTAGCTGGCCAAGGTAACCATATAGAGTTTTTATTATTGGATCATGAGTGATAGAAAATTGTTAACCTATACTAATTAACATGTACAAATGGACATTGACATTTGTAACTTTTGTCTCTTTCAGTTTTTTGCCTGTCTGCTTGTCATTTTTGCTGCAGAAATCACAGCAGGAGTATTTGCATTTTTGGGCAAACAAAAGGTAATTACAGCATTTACTCTTATAATATACACATAATATACACTATTTTGCCAAAAGTATTGGGACACCCCTCCAAATCATTGAGTTCAGGTGTTCCAATCACCTCTGTGGCCACAGATGTATAAAATCAAGCACCTAGGCATGCAGACTGCTTCTACAAACATTTGTGAAAGAATGGGTTGCTCTCAGGACAGAGCAGACAGAGTGGGGTCAGCGCATGCTGAAACGCACAGTGCGCAGAAGCCGCCAACTGACCTCCAAACTTCAAACAACAGTGTATAGAGAGCTTCATGGAATGGGTTCCCATGGCCAAGCAGCTGCATCCAAGCCTTATGTCACCAACTGCAATGCAAAGCTTCGAATGCAGTGGTGTAAAGCACGCCGCCACTGGGCTCTAGAGAAGTGGAGACGTGTTCTCTGGAGTGACAAATCATGCTTCTCTGTCTGGCAATCCGACGGACGTGTCTGGGTTTGGCGGTTGCCAGGAGAACGGTACTTGCCTGACTGCATTGTGTCAAGTGTAAAGTTTGGTGGAGGTGGGATTATGGTGTGGGGTTGTTTTTCAGGGGTTTGGCTTGGCCCTTTAGTTCCAGTGAAGGAAACTCTTAAGGCATCAGCATACCAAGACATTTTGGACAATTTTATGCTCCCAACTTTGCAGGAACAGTTTGGGGATGTCCCCTTCCTGTTCCAACATGACTGTGCACCAGTGCACAAAGGTCCAGAAAGACATGGATGAGCGAGTTTGGGGTGGAGGAACTTGACTGGCCTGCACAGAGTCCTGACCTCAACCCAAAAGAACACCTTTGGGATGAGTTAGAGCGGAGACTGCGAGCCAGGCCTTCTTATCCAACATCAGTACCTGACTTCACAAATGTGCTTCTGGAAGAATGGTCAAACATTCCCATAGACACACTCCTAAACCTTGTGGACAGCCTTGCCAGAAGAGCTGCTATAGCTGCAAAGAGTGGGCTAACTCAATATTGAACCCTACGAACTAAGACTGGGATGCCATTAAAGTTCATGTGCGTGTAAAGGCAGGTGTCCCAATACTTTTGGCAGTATAGTGTAGTTTGATCTGTAGCAACAGGAAGTCTTTAGCCATCAGGTTAATTCCTGCCTAGAAGAGAATTGGACACTGGCAAACAAAAAACCATAAGTCAGCCCAGGATAACCCCTCCTTCTACCAGCATGCCCGAGAGATTTACTAGTGTTCTAAGAGGATGATTGTCAACTCTGCTGTGTTAAAGACTCACCTGTTTTTTGCTATGTTAGTTGTCTTACATTTTGCATGATATATTTTGGGGATGCAGACTTTATTTCTTATATTTGCTGTTTAATATAAAGGGGTGGTCAGTTGGTCTCCTAGATCATGTTTAGCACCCCAGGGCTCTAGAAGTCCTTCATTTTCCTTTTTGGAGGTTCCTCATGATGTCTGGCTGAGAAGAAGTCCCGGGGACACTGCAGGGGACTTTGTTGTTGGAGGAGTCACGTCTCTCAATTATGTTCCAGCCTGCTAGCCATGTACGTCCCAGATATGTGTCATAGGCTCCAGGTTCAACAACAAACTATACAGAGGGGAACCTCACCACTCCATCCAATATTGGTCTCCATCACGCGGGTGTGTGCAGGTGCCGGCTAAGAGTGTGCACGTTCTGCAACAACACTATATCAAGAAAGAAGCCACGCACCACTATTCACCGATCATATACTCAGGCCCGGCGCTACCGCAAGGCAAGTCAGACGGCCGCCTGAGTGCTGCAGGGTGAGGGCGGAAAAAACAGGGCATTTTGACAAGTACTTGTACTTGTCAAAATGCCACGATGCTTGCTCTATATTTTGTTTTGTTTTTCTTAACTTACCTTCTGTGCGGAGAGCAGCGGCGAGTAAGCGTCCAACATTTATATTGTAAAGCGCTGTGCAAACTCTTGGCGCTATATAAATCCTGTATAATAATGTCGAGGCTTACTACCCATTGGCCAGCCACCTCTGAAACGTTTCTTCACACTGGACAGGTTTGTCTCCAGATACAGGAATACTTTAGGGGAAGCAATGGATGTCCTGGTGGTTGAGTGGGATAAGTACAGGCTGATTTTGTAACACTGGCTCTGTGAACACTGCCATCCTCCCTCAAGGTCATTGGCTTCAACAGTATAGCTGTTCAAGCCCAGGTTTTGACGAACAGGGGCATCTCTAAGTCTTAGATTCCTATGATGTTTAAGGCTAGGAAGTCTACTTCCTGCATTGTCTGTCATTGAACTTGGAAGGCATACTTAATTTTGTATGGGTTTCAGGTCTTCCACCCTAGGAGTTTGTGTGGAATGAATTCTCTCCTTGAGAATTCTTGATTAGGACCTTAGTACAGGGGGTCTCCCTTGTAGCTCCCCCTTGTCTCCTTCCCAGTGACTCCGTGGAACCTGAATGTGGTTCTCTCTGTGCTTCAGAAACTCTCATTTTGGAAGCACATAAGGTGGCCTTATCCTGCAAAGAAAGTTTTTGGTTTTGCACAGACAGGGTGCTGTTGAGGCCCATAACTTCCTTCGTGTCTAACGTAGTTTCTTCCTTTCACCTCAACCAGGACGTTGTTTTACCATTCCTATCTGCATCTCCAGTGTACCAAGAAGAAATTTCCCTCCATGAATGTATGGATGTGGCTTGGGCTATGTGAGTCCATCTCTAAATCATGTCTTCTTTCAGAAAGACTGATTTTCTTTTTTGCCATTCCGAATAGACCCTAAATAGATACCCTAGCTTTCTCATTCCACCATCTCAAGGTGGCTCAAACAGGCCTTTACGTTTATAGGTATCAGGATCAGGTTCCACCCTTTCCTGTAAAGGCGCACTTTACCAGATTTGTGAACGCCTCTTGGGCATTCTGGAAATCAAACAACTGTTTCCCAGATTTGCAAGGCTATCTTCTGGCCTTCTGTTCACATATTTATGTATTCTAGGTTCCACCAGGTGGACGTTTTGCCCTCATTTGATGCCATCTTTAGGCGTTCTGTCCTTTAGGTGTTTCCTTGAAATGAAGGATAGTAGCCTGTTCTCTTTTCTTTTTTTGGGCCTCTTAGCATGTGTTTGCTGTGCTGCCCATTCCCCTAAAAGCAGTTGGAATGCCTTTGGACATTCTGAAGGTCCCACAAAGGATGAGGAAAAAAAAGGATTTTTGAACTCTTCATAAAATCCTTTCCTTGGAGTCTTCTTGGTAATGCTTTGTTACAAAACGGAGGAATGCTGGTAGTAGGAGGGGTTTAAGACTGGCCTAAAGTTTTTTTGTTTGCTAGTGTATAAGACTCCTGTAAATGACAGTATAACCCAAAAGGTTTAAGACTCCCTGGATCCCTCAATGGACTTCAAGAAAAGGATTTCATGGTGAGTACAAAAATTCTATTATTTCTGTGTACTTGATTCTTAACTGGACATCATACGCCTTAATGTAAAACTAAAAACCACTAGGTGCTTAGCCATGCAAACTTTCTGTAAATGTGTTGCAGCTAAAATTATACTGACAGTTCAGCACATGTTTAGCTCAGTGGTTGTCCTGCTTTTGGCAGGCACTCCTACTCTCTACGCTTATGTATTTTTAGTAAGGGTTTCCCCAGATCCCAGCTGTGCACGGATTGTGGCTGTCTACCACTGAAACAAATGATAGCACTGTTGATGTGCATACTTGAACTCACAGGAAATTATTAAGGCAATATTTACTTTTTCTGATGTTGCTGATTGCTGGAAAAGTGTGACGGGAATAGACTAGAGGCTAGAGAATCAACAATTTACCACATTTGGCTACAGTGAACAGCAGTGCAGACAATATACAGAAAAACCTGGACACAGCATTCAAAACCTGGACAGTCCGGGTGAATTCCGGACAGGTGGCAACCCTAACCAACATGCATAACGTGTTGCAGTACAGCACACTGCAATGCGCCCATTAGCTTATATTATCTGTTAGTTTTCAAAATTGGTGGTTTAACCAATTTAAAATAGTCATATATTAGCAATAGAAGCAAAACACTAATTTCTAGAAATATAGCTGAAACAGCCCAAATATTCAGAGAACCAATGAAAATATTTTTTTTCTTAAGACTTTTCCCTTCTTATCTGTGAAGCGTTTGTGTTCTCTTAACAGACTATTATCGATGCTCAGCTTTTATACACTAAGGCCTATGAAGACTATATGAAAAAAGGAGGAAATAAAACTCTGCAAGATTTTCATACTTTTGTAAGTAATAAACTGCTGTTTCTGATAGAGGTGAGAAAGTTAAGAGTAAAAATTTTAAAGATTATTATTATTATATTTATGTAGCACCAACAGTTTGTGCAGCACTATAGGACACAAAAGGAGACCATACAGTTACAATAACATTCAATGCAAGAGGATAAGGAGGGCACTCGTGAGAGCTTAGAATCTTAATGATTGTAGGATAAACATACTCTTCAAAAAAACTAGAGTAGATTATTGTGTACTCAGAATTCATATACTATATTTTACACAACATACTTCTGGTGGGTAAATTTCTGGGTAAATGTATTCTCTCTGTTCAGACATTTTATTCATCTTCTACCCCCCCTAGTAAATTCAACCCAACTATCTATTTATGCAAGTATGTTTCTGGGAGGGTTTTATATTTTTAAACTTAAACTGTCATAAATCTGGCCAATCTAAACTGAGCATATGATGGAAAAAATCATAAAGCAGGGGTGGACAAATTAATATGGAATTAAGGGTCCAATCTGCACAATCCAAGAGCCAGCAGGGATTTTTTTGGTAGCCAGCTCTATTGACAACAGCTCAAAAGTTAGACATCGGCTCTAATTTTTAAGGAGCGTTGGCTACCTGGCTCCTGGGATTTGTTCAGTCCTGGAATTCAGTAGTTTCAGAATTGAAGGAGATGGAGTTTATACGCATTTCTCAACTTTTCCCATAAAGGTTGGCCCCACCACCTCTTTCCTACTGAGGCTTCCTCATTAATTCTCCAGTGTGATGGGCATTCTCACTGACCAGTTGGGAGGTTCTAAAGGTAAGAGAATATGTGGTTACAGGAAACCCAATAGGTTTGGAAGGTTTGTCCCATTTTTTGTTTATCTTTTTTGAGAGAATAGAGAGATGAATGGATACAAGCCAGCACTACATGAGCCAAGATGAATGAAGCGGCTAAATAATTGATAGTTGCAGTCATTTAAGAAACATTTTTAACTTGATAACCATGAAATAAAATGTGGATGATTTTGGTAGCAATCAGCCATATTGGGTGAAATAAGTACTCATTTCTACAGTAGGTGAAACCAATCAGAATTATGCTGAAGTCACACCAGGGTAAGATGAATTCTGGTTAGTTGCTGTGGGTTGTTGAAATTAACATATTTTATCATTTATAATTTTTTTGTTTAATAAGGCTGAATGCATCTCTCTCTGTAGCCAGGTCTGCAGAAAGTGGAAACTTTTTATACCACCTGGTTCACAGCTTGGAAAGCAACTTTTTCCAACAAATTTTCTTTGTTCATTTATTTGTATTGTTTATTTTTTTTTGTAGGTAAAATGCTGTGGAAATGAAGACCCCCAAAGTGCACAGCATGTGAGCAGCTTGTGCTTGGAGCAGCATAAAGAACACAAGGTAAAAATTTTTCTTTACTTCAAGTCATTAAGTCTGCAGGTTGTATGTGGTGCTGTGGAAAGTAACTATGCTAAAAGGAGAGTTACACAGTCAGTGCAATACATTGTTTACATTGCCTAGTTATAACGTACCTGGTCTGGGAGACTGGATGGGTGGGGAGGCTTCCCTTGCACCTCTTGTCTTGTGGCCTTTGATGATGGTAACAGAGGCTAGGCAGACACAGAGTGGCACAAGTGCCAGTGGTTATGGAACCGTGCAATCAGATGGGTAATCCAGAAATCGAAGTCAAGGCAAGCCGAGGTCAAAAGCCAGGAGGTCAGATGCAGTACCGAGGGTTAAGGCAGAAGAAGAATCCAATAAACAGTCCGAGGTCAAAAAGGCAGGCGGCAATCAAGGAAGTTGGTTGAGGCAGGAACAGGTCAAAATCCAGGCAGACGGTATTCAAGACAAGGCAGGAAACAGGATACAAATAAACAAACAAAAGCTGAGAAGACAATCCAGCAACTAAGTGACATGCAGGTCCGGTTTATAAAGGGAAGTGGGCCAATCAAGTACATCACTTCCTGTGCGTCTTTGGCGCGTTTTTCTTGTGAGTCGCGCCGTATGCGTGTCACTTCCGGTGCGCCATACGGCGCGACTTGCTGTGCGCATGCGCCTGTTTATCCTTCTAGCGGAACTTGGCGCATGCGCGGAACGGGCATGTTGCTTACACTAGTGCTGTTAGTTTTTGGAAACAGTCTTTGAAAAAATGCCTGTATCTTGCGACACATACTAAACCTTAACTCAGCTGGTAAAATCATCCTTGTGGTGGGTGGAACAGATGTGTCAAACATCTGCTCTACCCATCACGCACTGTGGTGGGAGAAGCAAGCATTTACACATCCTGAAGTAGACAATACCAACAGGAGCCGGAGAGAAGCAAAGTGGTGGTGTTTGGAGACATGGGCATCTAGAAAGGTAAGTATACATGCTCTTCTGTTACAGGCCAGGCTTCTTTTACAAGTGTGAGCCGATATGTTGCGGTTAGGTTAAAAGGTTAGGTTCTAATCAACAGTTAGTCACCACAGGGTCACTTGTAAAAGAATTTAACCAATTTAGTTGTGCTAGGATACAATGTTAAGTCACCAGCTGCAACAATGTATACAGGTGCGATACATTTGTGGGAAGTCATTTAAACTTTGTATTATCTTATATTGCTAACAAAGAAACAGTTTTGTATCTCTATCTCTAATACGTTTTATTTGTGACACTTGTAGAACTGTTTGGAAGAGATTGAAAAGGTGCTAAATCAAAGTTTCCAGATAGTTGGAATTCTTGCTGTTGCCACAGCTGGAATAACTGTAAGTACCTAATATACAACATATATGATCTGTTACAGAAGGACAAATTAACTGCAACATACATGTATTCACCACTAGCTGGAGGAAACGAGGTATATCATTTTATAAAGTAGTCACAATGGAAAGAACCAAAGTAGCATAAACTAGGGTTGAACAGACCAAACTAAGGCACTGTCGTCCACTTCACAGTTCTCTGTATTAAATAGCATTATTGGGGGTTTGGTCCCCACAATTGTCTTTCGTTGAATCCTCTCCCCCTTTTTTCAGCTTTGGAGGTGTCAATTAGAAGTTACTAATAGGCAGCCACCTGGCTTCTCCTCCTGAGGCGAGAAACAAAGTAAATGTAGCCCACATTAGAGAGATGAGGAAACTGACAGATTCTCAGCTCTAATTGCAGGCAGAGTTTCATAATAATTTCTTGAGATGGTAGCTAAGAGGTCATCATCAGTGCAGACTACAACAGGGGAGTCGAAATTATCTAGGATTTGTTTTGTTTTTTAATTTTGGATTGGAAGATTTGGTGTATCCAAAATAATTATTATAGAGTTAAATCGGCTCACATTATTTAACATGTTGTGGGCTTAAGCCATATGGATTACACCCTAAGGCTACATTCACACTGTGGCAGGAATTACAAATCTCCATCTCATTTAGATGCAGCCACTGTCACCCAATCAAGTTAATGCCCGGGTGACATCGGCCGCATCTGCAAGCGGCAGGTTTGGAATAGATCACTATCCCTGCTGGTGCCATTCTACATTAATTGCTGTATAATTTTACACTTTTCATTTCACTATATTGCACACCACACTTTTTTTTTCCTTTTCTTTACTTCCACCGCTCCAAGCTTGCTCCTGTGATGGACTACAATCTCAATACAAACTAGTAGTCCATCACTGGAGCCATTTTTTAAAATGTATTTAATTTTTTTATCCGATTAACCGATTAATCGAACTTAATAATCGTCCAACTAATCGATTTGGAAAATAATCGTTAGCTGCAGCTCTACTGCACATACATTATATGTGTTCATTTTGTTCCTTAAATAATGATGCATTTGAAAAATGCACAAAACTGAACAAAAATTACAGTTTACAGTATTACTACAGTGGGTACAGTCAAATTTGCAGTACATTAGTTGTTTTAAAACTAAATATGCCCATACACTGTATGAGAACCGCGGGAAATCCCACAATCGTACGATAATCGTACAGTGTATGGAAGGCGTGCAACCGTTTCTACTGTGCGGTCGCATGTCTTCCGTCGAACAAGCAGGTTTGAAAACCCATACGATTCTCGGTGGGTTAGTGGCCTGCTTGTTCGACAACTGGCGAACTGCCCGTTTGCAGTGATCGGAAGCCCGCCCCTTACTGCGGTCATTCGATGATCGCATGTACGATCTGCCTGTCCAAGATGGGCAGATCATACGAGCTTTTAATAAGCTTACGACCATCGCAAGACAAAACTCTTGCGATGGTCGGAAGGTGTATGGGCACCTTAACACTGGTCAAACTAGAAAAAAATTGTTTTTTTTTTATATTTTTAAAATGTTTTGTATATATATTGCATAGAAAATAAAATAATTTTTGCAAGACAGTATTAACATAATAAAGCCTTGTTTGTAAAGAATATACTGTATATTTATACTTAATTTTTTTTTATCTCAAGTGATGTGAAGAGTTATCCAATAATGAATAGGCTAATAGTATAAATATAAAAATTGTTTTTGTCCATAAAGGCGTATACCGCTAAGGGAACTGAAAGCCGTTAAGTGTTTTCGGGTCTACAGTGGTGAAATCTTTGTGTTTGATTTCCCAACTCTGTACTCCTACAATTGTAAGGGGGTCCATGCCCCATGTTGGCAATGTATTCTATATTGTGAACTGAGCGACAGGCGTACAGGCAGGGCTCACAATCCTACTGTATCTTTTATTGTTGTATATGTTTTCCCGTGCAATTCTCCAAACATGTAATTGGTCATTTGCATTAATTTGTATTATCTGTACTGTATTACTCACTTTGTAATGATGGTACAATATAAAGCTTTAATAATGACAACATAATGTTAGCACCTGAAATAAAAGGTGGAGGAGCTCAAAAGTATGCCAGGGACATCTCAGGGAGTCCTAAGAAGTAGTCACTTGGTGGGCCAGGTCACCAACACTTTGCCTATAACTAAACTATAATTTTTGATGGATTTGATAAACTAATACATTCCTATTTTATCTCTCTCTACAATTAGTTAACTTTTTAAATTAAGTGTGGCTTAAAAAAACATATGAAATTGTCCTTCTCTTACTAAAAATATATATAAACTTTTTTCTTACTTTTATTTATTATTCATTACTACTGAAATACGTATATGTTTCCCATTTATAGTCAGCTGTTGTGTCTTTTTAGTGATGGAAACAAAATATAAATCATTTTTGTGATAGTTTGCCTGTGGGCAGAGTGTTGCTACAAGATATTTAATGTTACTATGTAACAGGTTTGACATGTGAGCTATGCAGATCGGTTGTGATTTTCAATAGGAGAACTATGAGATGAGTGATTTCCACTCACCTCATAGTTCTAGCCGACCTGTGACAATGACACTGTCACAGGTCGGCTCAGTAGATCGGGAGGTGAGCGAACACATACCGGGTTCGCTCACCTCTCGATCCTGTCACGGCTCTCTGCCGTGACAGGGGGGGGGCTGGATTCCCCTCTCCCCGCTCCGATCTGCCAGCGTTGACTGGCGGAACGGACGGGGGAGGGGGCGGGTACAGCTGGCTCTGCCTCTAGATAGGCAGAGTCAGCTGTCACTCATGCAGCTGGGCGGATCTCGACGTTGATGTTGGGATCCGCTCCGGCTGCGGCAACTCAGTATACCGCGAGCTGTAGCTCGCGGTAAACTGAGCTTAGGGTAACGGGAGGACGCTAGTTTGTGTCCTCCCGTTACCCTAAGGAGAACTATGGGGAAAAACACTGACCCCATAGTTCTCCTTTTAATGCTCCTTTTAATGCTGTAATATTTATCCACTTTAAAGCAAACTATCTTTTAAAATATTGATTGTAAGATATTCTAATAACCCTGCTTCAATAAAGTGCAACTCCAGGCAAAATCAAAATCCCAGGATCTCGGTTATACTCCCCACTTACTGTATATGTATCAACTTACCCATATGGCTATCTTTATGACTGCAAACATCCTCTGTGTTCAACAATCATCTAATGGGTGGCTAGGGAAAAATTGGCTAATACAGTTCTGCCTCATCATTAGTAGCCTCTCCTTCTCCAGATTGTGATTGGACAATAAAGGAGCAGTAGCACACCAGTGAGGTAATTCCTGTGCTTTCTTTTCTCCTGTAAGGATGTAATGTCAGATGGATACAACAGTTTAGACATGTGATGGAACACACTACAGCGGTGTATACTTGTTCGTGGCGTGTTTATAAGGTTAGTAAATCAACCCCAGTATTTGAGTATAGACCAACTTACAATTACAGTAATTATTGTTATTTTGGATGCATATAGTGCCAACATTTTGTGCAGTGCTTCACAATATTGGGAGACAGTACAATTACATTACAAAATGATCAGAAGGACCATGCTCGTGAGAGCTGACAATCTACAAAGGTGCAAGTGATACAGAAAGTAATAATAATTGTGAGAGATGAGTGGATGTACAGTTTTTAAGAGGAGGTGGAATAGGCTTCACTGAAGAGGTGAGTTTTCAGTGATTGCCTAAAGACAGACAGAGGACGGGATAGCTGGATAGGTTGTCGTAAGGAGTTCCAGGGGATGGAAGAGGTTCTGGAGAAGGCTAGCAAAGGAAGGGGGTAATGAGGAAGCTACAGAGCAGGAGGTCTTAGGAGGAGCAGAGAGCACAGTTTGGGTGATATTTTAAGATGAGGTTGGAGATGTAGTCAGAGGCAAAGATGTGGATGGCTTTGTATGGTGCTACTAGTATTTTAGTTGTGGTATTGGGAGCCAGTGGAGGGATTGGCAGAGAGGGGGTGGCGGCTCCTGAGCAGTTGGTGAGGTTGATGTGTCTGGCAGCAGCATTCATTATAGATTGAAGTGGAGATAGCCTGTGTAGATGTAGGTCAAGGAGAAGGGAGTTGCAAATAGTTGAGGCAAGAGATTATGAGAGAGTAAATTAGTAGCTTTGTGGTGCCATTTGTTAAGAAGGCACAACATGTTACGAAAATTAAGACGTCAAGATTTGGTCAGTGATTGGAGGTGGGGCCTGAAGGAGAGGTCAGAGTCCAGGATTGCACCTGGTGTAGGAAGTATTTGGAAAATGCTTTGTGGGGATAGAAGGATTGCAACTCGGCCTCCCTTTCCCCCACTGTGAGGCTAATCAGCAAACTAGGTCTACTTAAGACAAAATGAAAGTCCCCTGCACTTACCTCCCCTCCACTGGTGCAACATCTCTGTGCTCCTTCATCGCTGCTGACTAGGGATAAGTTCAAGTTCGACCAAATAAAAGCTGCAATGGCTGAAAACAGAAGCTTCATGGGCCCAGTCAGCTATTGGTCAGGGTTTTTCCTGCCCGGCAGCTGACCATAAGCAAAGGGCAGTATGCTTGTGCTAATGTAGCCATATAAGGCCAATGATGTCACTGCATCCTGCCCCTTTGCTTTCTTGCGGCTATGGGTGTGGAATTCCTTACTGCAGCTGATTGAATGGCAGTGGAAGGAGTTTCCTTTTGTGTTCAGAGGAGCTCAGGTTCAGGATCAGGTTTGGTTCAAACCTAAGCTCATCCCTACTTCTGACATCTGCACCAAGTCTTGTTCTGGCATGGCATAACTTCTGTGTGTGGTTATGGGAGTAAATTCATCCTGGCAACCAAGGAATGCAGAAAATGTTCATGTGCATCCTGGACTTCATTCCTGCTCTATCTGCATTGTGGTTTCCCCATATGGATGGGGATGTGGGCATCCTCCAGCTGTCTGGTCTCTTCCCATAACTCAAGAACACATGGTTAGGTTTCTAAATTGATGATACTCTGAATG